TCTCTCGTCCACCCACCTACAACTAACTACACGTACCACCTCTCTCTCTACTCGTCTCTCTCTCTCTCTCTACTACACTACTACGTACTACTACTAACTAACTACTACTTCTTCTTCTTCTCACCAACTAACTAAACAAACACTCTCTCTCTCTCTCTCTCCTCCTCTCTCTCTCTCTCTCTCTCTATCTCTTTTGGTGAGCCCAATAAGCCCCACCACAAGGCAACCCCACAGCAATGGACCCGGACCCCTTCTCGGTAACACTCTTTAAATGGGACCACCACCACCACCGCCCCGCCCCACCTCCTAACCGCCTCCTCCTCCAAGAAGCCACGGCAACGGTGACGCCGCCTCCCCCTCAAACCCCCGCCTCTTTCTGTCGCCCGAAAGAGCTAGGAGGCTTAGAAGACCTCTTTCAACAATACGGGGTTCGATATTTCACAGTAGCTAAAATGGTGGAGATGGGTTTCACAGTGAATACGTTGGTGAATATGAGAGAGGAAGAGATTGATGAAATGATGGGGAGTCTGGGTGAGATTTTCAGGTGGGAGCTTTTGATGGGAGAGAGATATGGGATTAAGTCGGCGATAAGGGCGGAGCGGCGGAGATTGGAGGAGGAGGAGGCGAGGCAAAGGCAGCAGCACCACCAACATCATCAACTTTTGGTGGTGGGTGGAGGAGGAGGAGAAGTAAATCATCACTTGGATGCCTTGTCTCAAGAAGGTATGCCTCTCTCTCTCTCTCTCCTCTCTCCTTTTGTTGCCTATCACATGAAATATATACCTTTCAAACCCTCTCTCTTGTCCATACACTCCCAGACAATCCCAAAGTAATGTTTTCATCTCTCTCTCTCTAAAGTAATGTTTTCATCTCTCTTTCTCTCTCTATATGGCATTGCTTTCATCTCTCTTTCTCTCTCTATATGGCATTGCTTTCATCTCTATTCTCTCTATCTCTTCTCCCATGCTGCTGCCTCTATTAATTATACTGGATAAAACACGGCTCTGTCGTGATTAGATGGATCAAACCTTTTCTCTTTTGATTAGATGATCCCAAAAGATTACATGCTCCCGCGGGAGTATAACATCCAGTGGAGTTCACCATTCTGAGATAGCTAGGCTTCTCAAACTTTTGAGACTGAAATATTGAAAGGGTCAAGTTTTGGTATGTAAGGTTGAAACCTTCAAATGTAGAATTATAGATGCACAGCAAAATCCATCGTCAAAGTTGTTTTTGATGTTGAAAGACCCCTTAACCGATCATTTTGAATATATCATTATAAATACGGAGAGAAAAAAGATTTTAGTGTCTATGAAATAGTGTATTTTGCAAACAGGACCGTCTATTTTCAAGATTTTAAAATAGTTATAGATCTACTTTATTTAATCCATTTTTAAAGTTTAAAATTTTATAATTAAAGATAAAATAGACTCTCAATCCATCTTGAGAACTTTTCATATCAAAATTACATCTATAATAAAATTAGACGTGCGCCGTTATTGGATTGTTCAAGGTTGCTAACCACATCCCTTTAGGAAATGGGTCAAACAGCTTAAAAACTTTAGTTATGCTCCCGCGGGAGCATAACACACAGTGAAGTTCACCAATCGAAAAAGCTGGGCTTCTCAAGCTCTTGGCACACAAACATTGAAAGCAAAGCTTTGGGACGTGATCAAATTTCTACAACACAGCCCATTCCAAAGCTTGAATTTCTCCAATTTCTCTGTAAAAAATAACCCCGAAAATAGCAGCACAAAATTCTCTAGTTTTCATCCTTAAAAGTTTAATTCTCTGATTTTCATTTACAAAGGTTAACTATGCGCATCTCAGTTCTTAGTGGCATTTCAATCAGTTCTAAGAATCCAGAATTCAAAAAAGTTAAGTGGGATTTAAGTCATAAACTCTTCATATTTCTTCATCTCATCGATTTCTCATTTCCACAGAAACTGTGCTTAAGAGCACAGTTGAAATCCTTCATATTTCGCGATCTCAACCATTTTTACTTTGCATGGGCACCGTGTAGGCCTATCCGAGGAGCCGGTTCAGGAGGAGAAAGAGGCAGCAGGAAGTGGAGGTGGCGGGCAGTGGGAAGCATCGGAGGGAAAGAAGCACAGGAGGCGGCGGGCAACTAAGGGCAACGTCGGAGGAGATGCGGAGGAGGGGAGTAGCGGAGGGGAGAGACAGAGGGAGCACCCATTTATAGTTACCGAGCCTGGAGAGGTGGCGAGGGGTAAGAAGAATGGCCTCGACTACCTCTTCCACCTCTATGACGAGTGCCGCAACTTCTTGATCCAGGTCCAAGCCTTGGCCAAGGAGCGGGGCGAGAAATGCCCCAATAAGGTAATCTCCCATGGATTGTGTGCAATAACAGTATTTATCTTTGGGTGCAGTTGGCATATGGATGCATCCGTAGCTCTAGAGGTAAGGTGCACTTTCAAATTTTATCATGGTGTATAATTTTGATGTAAAATGTTTTTAGGATTATCTCAAAATCTATTTTTATATCTAATTATAAAATTTAAAATTTCAAAAATAGTTAAAATCAAGTAGGTCTATCAACATATAAAAATCGTGAAAATGGACGGTGTAGATAATATGTTGTAAAATATACTATTTCTGATACTTAAAATCATTTTATTTTTCATGGTCATACATCTCGATTTCGAGATGATCATTCAAAAGGTTTTTCAACATTAAAACTTTCTTTTTCGATGGATTTTTGAGGTGCATCTGTAGCTGCCACCTTATATAAACTTTTTCCTTTATCTTTATTACAACGAGGTCACAATTGCTACATGCCATTAGATGTCAAATTTGATGGTTTGAGATATGATATAAAATTTTTGGTATTTTGTTTTCTTCAATTTTGAGTCTACACGCTCACAAGTGCACAATTGATAGAAAAGAGTGACTATGACTACCTTGTATAGAAGATATTTGGTATCTTTGTATATTTTTTCCTACCACTTAAATGTAAAGTATAATTTACAGCGGTGGTGTGTCGTCGTGGTGCGAGTTTTCACGGTTGATTTCATGATGATTGATTGTGTGGAGATTAATTTTACTTTGGTGAATTTTTATATGTTAGGGTTAGACGGGTAGTCTCCCTTGTTAGCATTTTTGGAAGTGACGGTGATGTGTGATATGGTGTCCCATAAAAGCACACCATTGTCATACTCTATACTTCTTCAACTTTCATTTTAGTTTTATTTTGTATTTTAAAAATGAAAAATATATACAATAAAGAAAATTGTTTCATGCGGGCTGGGCCGCATTCCTACTTATGTGGTCTAGATAGTGTATAGCATCCATCTTAAAGATGGATGCAAGTAGGTTTTCCATCTAAAAACAGTAGAAACTAACGGTCCAAATGCTCTTTTTATTAGAGATTACATGTCTTTAAAAATTAAGTCTTATTTAAAAATTAAGTCTTAAAATCTATCTCAAAAATATATTTATTAAGAGGCCCACATTTCTACATATGCGGGTTTGGCTACATAAAAACTGGGTCCATACAATAATATTAGGGAAAGGTTTCTATACTTCCCCTACAGCATAGAAATTCTATCCTCCCCTTATCATCCAGCTGTCCAATTTTGATCAAGAGAGCCATTCACCATTTGATCTTAGATCCGATGTTTCAAAGTATTTTATTTTAAATTTATTTTTATACAAATTGTATGAATGTGAAATTTGGTATGTGTCATCTTCTCATTGGGGCGTACTTATAAAAAATATGAAAAATAATTTTCCGATAAAATATAATGATCAAAATATCTTTTGAAATTTTCAGGGGTATTTTGGTTATTTTATTTTATTGAAAATATTTTTTTAATATTTTTCGCTAGTATGAATTTAATAGAGGAATGGACATCCAAAATTTGGTATCAAAATAATTTATGAAAAAAAAATTAAAAACAAAAGGGTGTAAAGATATGACATTGTGATTGGGGCAATCTTAGCCCTCCATTCAAAATGGACGGTTAGATAAAGGGGAGTATATAAGTTTGATGTAGGGGAAATATAGAAAGCTTGCCCATAATTCTATCTATCTTTTGTATAAGTAATGCCATTTATCTTTGTTAAAAAAAAGTATCACAATCGGGTTGTTAGATTTGGAATTGAAAAGCTAAGAGTGTTTGATTGATTAGGCTCAAGGTTCAAAGAATTTTTTTAACTCAGGGACATACTTTTAAGCTGTCAAATTTGGCATCTGAATTTTTTTAACTCAGGGACATACTTTAAGCTGTCAAATTTGGCATATGATAGGTTTATGATTAGTTGTAACCTCCTAGCTCTAAAGATAAATGGTCTTAAATATACAATCCATTTTAAAAATCTTCGGATTAAAAAATATAATTGTACAAATACAGTTACAAAGTTTGTATCTGTTAACCATTTTCCTAAAGCAAAAAAGGCCCTTGGAAAAAAAAAAAAACAAAATAAACCAGACAAACTTACAGAAATGAAATGGTCCGTTGGTAGCTTGTCATCTATAATATCAAATAAATCATTTTTCTCTTTGAAAAATCTACCAATTAAATCATTTTCATAAACCTCTTGTTGTTTTCCAAGCCTTAATTTCTAATCCAGCTTTTTTGTATTCTCTCTTATTTCTCAATCGAATCATCGAAAATTTGATTCAGAATGTAAGTATTGGTACCCCCTAACCAAACCCAACATTATTGGATTAAAAAACATACGAGAAGAAATCAAGAGTTTGAATTTTAGGGGTTTTTTGGACCTGAAATAAAGCTTTGATCTCCATTTCGCTCGATATATTCAAAATTGTCCGAAAATGTCCCTTACTGATCTGCATATGACCTAACGGTTTTTTTTACAAAATAAAAAAACTCAAATGTTGTTCTTTGGTTCGTTTTCGGCCACTTTTTTTGTCATTTTTCATTAGAGTGTTTTTTATTTCAATTTGTGATGTGAATTTCATTTACACATTCTACATATGAAGTTAAATAGTTCAATATTTGATGTTATTTATTTTAAATTGAGATTTAAACTTTAAGACCATTTATTGTTTTACAAGAAGGTTATAATCAATCTTAACTATTGTAGCTGGAATCTGACTGCTTGGGGTGCTTCATAAGGCATGATAAATTTTGTGTTAGTCTTTGAGCTTAGTCAATGACACACCTTAGCCACTCGATTTATCTAATTACTTGAGATGGTTGTGACTTCAGCAGAAAATAAATGGTTTTACCTACTTGCCCTTTTTAATTTAATTATTACCTTTTTCTCTATTTTTATGTTTCTTTGTTTTTAAAAAACCGATTGAGTAAAATGATTTGACTCTATGACTCGGTTATTTTGACCCGATTTCAAAACATTAGTTTTATCTAAAGGATTAATAGGTAGGGAAAACTTTATGTACTTACCTATACTTCCCTTGTCCAGTCGTTAGATTTGAATGGACGGATGAGATGGACTTAATCACAATGTCATGCCTTTAAACTATTTTATTTTTATTTTTTTTCTATAAAATATTTTGATGCCAAATTTTGAGCATCTACTCTTCTTTTGAACTCGCACTAGCAAAACACAGAAAAATAAAAAATAAAAAATAAAAAATTATCAATAAAATAAAATAACAAAAATGCCCTTGAAAGCTTTAGAGGTATTTTGGTCATTTTATATTTTTAAAAAATATTTTTTAATATTTATTTTAGGTACGATCCATTGAGATGATGTCACATATTAAATTTCATATTCATATGATTGATAGAAAAAACAATTAAAATGAAATAGTATGATATATTGAATCTAGATCAAGTGGTCAGGGGCTTGTTCGATCTAAATTGAATCGCTAGATGGGAGGGGAAGTATATATAGTTTATATACATTAAGGAAAGCATAGATAGCTTTTTCCTAATAGGTATATTGGCAATTTGTAAGAAGTTTTGGAGAATAATAATTGGAACGAGCAATTCAAATCAGTATTTGCATTTCCTTGCTCTTTGGTATTTTAGAAGTTAACATAAAAACACTAGGTAAAGTATTGTAAATCTATATGATAGAAATAGATTTCAATCTAATCATATTCATTGGTAGTTGTCTATGTTAACTCTGAACATATATTAGTTTCCATGTTTAGTTCATTTTTTTAATGCAAGTAGTGTTCTAATGAATAATTTAGGATACTAGTTGTGTAGCAATCGATCTTGTTACTTTCATTTATTATTACTAATTACATGTATTCCTGTGATGAGACAGTTGTTATACATGCTATATGAAATATGAACTGTGTGAATTGTCTTATCATGATGTATTTAATCTTCTTCACTTATTTTCTAGCATAGTGGAAGTCTTTTTCACCTATTTTCTATTGAAATAGAGATAAGAGACAGAACTATAAGTTCTCTCTATGTATCACAACTCTTGTATCTAGAGGAAAGACAGATGTTTGTCACAACTTTCCTATCATAGTTGAAGTAGGGCATAGAACTATAATTTCTCTCTATTTATCACAACTTTGTAGAGTTTTTAAACTCATTCCCAATATTATATCTCTCAATCATCTAAAGAAATTAACTCTAAAATGAAAAAAATTATACTTTCTACGGAGAAAATTGGTATTTTTTCCCGCCGTTAGGGGATTAAGACTGGGACATAGTTTCTATGAGTCCATGTAGAAATGAGTCACCTCTTAAAAATCTCTATTTTTGAGATGGATTTTTGGACTTAAGTTTTAAATACATGTAATCTCTTATATGGAGATCATGAATATGAATTAATAAATAAAATTAAAAATTAAAAATAATAATTCTATTGAAAAAATATTTGGACTATTATTTTCAATTGTTTTTAGATGGACAACCTATTTGCATCCATCTTTAATATGGATGGTTTATACCGTGCGACCACATATTATAGAAATGTGGTCTAGCCCAAATGGAACAATTTTCCTTAAGGCCGATGGAAATGTTTTTCTGCCTATCGGGAATAATACAAGCTCAACAAGGCAAAAAAAAGCATGCGCACCAACAAGGCAAAAAACGATCACGCACTTAGAGCTCAAGAAGAGGCTCGGCCTGAGTCCTCACTAGAACCTCGAGGTCGACTCATTTGATCCTCGTTGGGAACCGCACCCCTAGGAAACTCCAGCCCACTGTAGCATGGTTGTCATTCTCGATATGCAGGTGAAACGGGTAACTATCAGCTGCTTAGAAGAGGCACTTTAGATCGACGATCTCATGATCAGGTTATCGTTTTGAGCGGGTCTAGAGGGAGTTTGATCGTGTTTTGTTGTGGACCGTCCATTGCCCGTGGTTGTCATTCTCAATCGGCGGGTGATATGGGGGTAGCCATCAGGTGAGTAGAGGCACTTT